CTCTTTCTTGTTCTAGTTACCATCTTTTCTTCTTGTTGTTGTGTACCATTGAGTCAGAACCGACCCATAGTTGACCCTCCGGTGGGTTTTCAGAAGCAATTAATTACATGGGAAGAGATTGCTCATTGTTCTGTGGAGCAACTGGTGGCCTCGAACCATGTGCCTTTCAAGCCTTTCTTCACTCTGTCAGTCATTGGCCACATGTGTTCCTTGTTTAGACATCCTGGAATGCCTTTTAGCCTCTTTGCTCAAGTGCCTTAGTGGTGAGGAGTTGTGCTGCCAACCCAAAGGCAGGGAGTTCTAATCCACCAGTTGCATCATGGGAGAAAGTTGGACATCTCCTGTATGATTAACCACCTCTAAAAACCTGCTGGAGTGTCAGCTTTGAGTCGGTTCCATCTCTGGCAGCCTTATGTAGAAGAGAACTTACGTGTTCATTCTCTTATACATAATAGAAGTAAACCTTGCCTGGTCCTGCACCATCTTCATGACTGTTGGTATGTTTCAGCGTCCGTATAAATCCATCTCTTTATAGTGCAACAATGAATGAGTGGAAGCCCAAAATCTCTGTAAATGTTTATGAAAATTAATAAAATATAATTATAGAAAAAAAAATAAATCCATCTCTTTGAACATTCACCTCCTTTTCACCTTCTGCTTTCCTCCTATCATATTCTTTTATTTCTAGCACTTACTTGGTCTTTGTTAATATGGTGTCCAGTGCAGGCAAACCAATATCTTGCTATCCTCACTTCTATGGAGTATTGTGGTTGTAATACTCCTACTGATTTGTTATTCTTCAGGCCTTCCATCTATTCAATATAGTTACAGCAGTACCCTAAAACACAGCAGCTGGAACCCCATTGCATTCCAAAAAATTCAAGGTGGCTCAAGTTCAAGGTAGCCATTTCACCTATTAAAAGAGAAAGAAGAACTTTTTGTGGCTATTGTTTTTAAATTCTACACTGATATCAATAATGTTGTTGTTAGGTGCCATTGAGTTGAGCACGACTCATAGTGACCCCATGAACAAAAGATCTACACCCTGTTCTATCCTGCACCTTCCTCACTTCCTGACGCATAATAGCTCATTGCAGCCATCACCGTATCCATCTACCTGGTTGAGGGTCTTCCTCTCCTTCGCAGACCCTCCACCCTTCCCAACATCATGTCCCTCTCCAAGGAACACTCTGGCTGCTTCCTCTCCAAGACATATCTGTTTGTTTTCTTGTCGGTCCATGGGGACATTCAGTGCTCTTTTCCAACACCACAGCTCAAAGACATCAATTCTTTTTCTGTCATCCCTGTTCATTGTTCAGGTCTTGGATGCATAGCTAATAGTTGGAACGACTGAATCAGATGCACCCTAGTCCTCAAACTGACATCACTACTCCACAGTAATTTGGAAAGGTTCCTAACTGCAGATTTTCCCAGTGCCGTGTATCTCCTTATTTTCTGACTGCTCATATATAGAAGTTATTTTTATAAAAAATAAGTGCAGTGCATTCAGTTGAAAGGTGCCATGGAGACGGACACTGTATTTTCCCCTGGTTGCACCAATGAGTATTACTTCTGTAAGTTATTTTATATATCTCAAAAAATGGCATTTTTGATAAATACGTATTTTATCATGAATATATACTGCTATGTGGTTGTTTTCCTGTTGGATCTTCCTGTTCTAATGTGCGTCTTCCCAAATGGCTAATTTTAACATAGAAAAATGATAGCCATCTATTAGTACCAAATTTGAAGGATCTTTAACTCTTACAAGAGCTCTAATGACCTAGGGCATAAGGAGTCAAAGGCAAGTGGTTCAAATCCATCAGCTGCTTCTTGAGAGAAGAGCAATGTCCTACTATGCAATTTACAACCAGAGTGTAACTTCTGAAACCTACTAGAGTCTTAGCTGTGAGCCAGATCCCACGTAATGAGAGTGAGTTGAATTCAGTTCTGCTTCTTTCATATGCTTAATAGAGCCTTGTATTTTGGATAGAATACTGCTTAAGGATAGTGGATGTTGTAGTCAATCTCACCTTTGTTCTGTAGCCCATCATAGAAGGACCACTAAGTCCCAGTACATTTTAGCTAGAAGTTATTTTTTTTTCGTGTGTGTGTGTGTGTGTGTGTGTGTGTGTGTGTGTGTAGCTTTTGGTGTATTCAAATTGCGCACCTTCAAGATTAGAAGTTATTTTTATATGTTCTTTCATGCTCTGCTCAAATATTGGTTTTTGTCCCCAGTGTTTACCAGCAGTTTCTAATAGTAGGTAATTTTAGTTAGCCAACTGTAGTGAGGCAGGGTTAATAATTAACAGAGGACGTATTTCATGAATAGAAAAGTTGTAGAAACTTCATTGGCACTTAGTAAATGTTTATATGAATGAGCAACAGTTGAAGAGTTAAGATTATATATAATCTCACCAGTTTCTCAGTGTTTTCCAGCTTTTTCTTGTTGCTGGGGTAAAGCCTCATATGGAGTAGACTTGGAATTTGGTGTTTTTGCTGTCACTTACTAGGTATGTAGTATTAGGCAAGCCGCTTAGTCTTCATTAACACATTTTAATGCCCAGTTAAAGGAAAATCTGGGCTGCGAAAATGTGGTTAATAGGTATGAGAATGATGTAGATTTCTATATGTACTAGATAAATCCGTGAATATTAACAGATTTACTGAGTCATTCTTATAAATGTTGCTAAAAATAAAATTCTAAAAGCGAAAATGCAGTAAAAATAGTAAATTTAAGATACTGAATTGTTATAAATATAGTATGGAGATACTACAACAAACTGACAGTTTTTAATACTTTGGTTTTACATCATTTTACTTATATTTATGGGGCATAAGTAGTAGAGGACATCATATAAAAATTCTTCTTTAGACTATCTACTTTTTTACATTTTTTTCCTTGCTGTGTACTGTCGAGTCAGATCCAACTGGCACAGGAGGAGATTGCGCCTCCTTCTCCGGCAGAGCATCTGGTGGATTCAAACTGTGTGCCTTCAGGATTGTAGCACATCTTCTTGCCACTAGGCCACCAGAGCTCCCCTGACTATCTGCTTCTTAATATTTTTTTCCCTTCATATTTTCTTGTGGTTGAAATTATTAAAAATCCCATTGCCTTAAGTCAGTTCCAACTCATAGCAACCCCACAGGCTAGCAGATGTGTTTACTACTTTTTACTAATATATACATAGTAATTTTTATTGTTATTTTTATGAATTGTCAAGTTGAAATTGACCCATACCTGACCCTCTAGCGCATTTTCAGAGGCAGCAAATCACTCACCCATCTTGGCAGGAGATTGTTCATCCTTCTCCCATGGAGCAGCTAGTGGAATCAAACGTGCCTTTGGGCCACCAGATACATAGATATAGATAATGTTGTGTACCATCAAGTCAGAACTGACTCATAGCTAATCCTCCTGTGGGGAGGAGATGCCCATCCTTCTCCTGCAGGGAAGCTGGTAGCTGGTGGATTTAAACCACGTGCCTTTGGGATCACAGCGTGGTTCATTACCACTAGGCCACCAGAGAGATATATGTAATTGTTGTTGTTGTGTACCACAGAGTTGGAACTGACCCATAGCTGACCCTATGGGTTTTCAGAGACAGTTAATCTCACAGGAGAAGACTGCCCCTCCTTCTCCTGCGGAGCAGCTAGTGGTCTCAAAGCATGTGCCTGCAGGATTGCAGTGCAGCTTTTTGCCAGTAGGCTACCTGATAGAGGTGTGTATATATAGAGAGAAATACATACATACAGAGACACATATATATCTAAATAGATAAGCTGTATCTATTATGTCTATCTACCTAAATATATAAGCTGTATCTATTATATCTATCTATCTTTCTATCTATCTAAATATATAAGCTATATCTATGATATATATAGTTGTTGTTGTTATGTGCTTTTGCGTTGCCTGCAACTCATAGCGACTCTATATACAACAGCCTTAAACCCTGCTTTATCCTGTGCCAATCTCACTGTCTCTGACACACCTACACCCAATACCCCAGTCACTGAATCAATCTACCTCATAGAATGTCTTCCCCTCCTGTCCCTCCACCCTCCCAAGCATGGTGTCCTTTCCCAAGGACAGGTCCCTCCTTGCAACATGCCCAAAGTATGTCAGACACAGACAAGGCTTCAGAAACCTTGCCTCCAAGGAGCAGCCTGGCTTCACCCTCTCCCGGACAAACCTGTTTGTTCTCCTAGCAGTCCATGGTATATTCAACACTCTTCTCCAACACCATAGCTCAAAGGCATAAATTTTCCTTCTGTCATCCCTAGTCATTCATTGTCAAGATCTCTGATGCATAGCAAGTGATTGCAAAGACCTGGCCTGTATCGGGTGCACCTTAATCCCCAGAGTGACACCATTGCTCTTCAGTACTTTGGAGAGGTCCCTAACAGCAGACTTTCATTTATATAATATGTATTGTATTGTATTGTATTGCATTGCATTGTATTATATTATATTTATTATATATTATATTTTATATTATAAAGGAGCTCTGTTGACTTAGTGATAAGGAGTTGTGCTGTCAACCCAAAGGCACTCAGCTGAAATATCAATTACTTCATGGGAGAAAGATGGCCAGTTTCTTCCTGTCTGATTTATTGCTTCTGTAAACCCGCTGGAGGGTCCACTTTGAGTTGGTTTCTACTCAGTGGTATACGTCATCACCACCATGTATATCATATGCCTGTCACAGGGTAATACATGTTCTTTATTGTTGAAATTTGTGTTTTCCACAGTCTAATCACTTGTTACTTTGTTTCAGTATATCTTCTACATTTTTTCTTTCTTGTTGTGTACCATCCAGTTGGATCCAACTGCCACAGGAGATTGCCCTGTTTTCTCCAGCAGAGCACCTGGTAGATTCGAACTACATGCCTTCAGAACTGCAGCACAGCTTAGAGTGCCCTTTCTTCTTTTATTTTAAAAACTGTTATACTCCATAAAGTATCTATCCTCTTTAATGTCAATATTGTTGTTTTAGGATCGTGGAGTGAAAATATACTGGAATATTTTCTGAGAAATAACCAGATTACAACAAAAGATGGCGCAGAGATCACCTGGTATCATGCAGCCAACCACAAAGCTCAGATGAATGAGGCAGTGAAAAGTAAGTGACTTTCCTGCAGTGTGGCAGGTCTGTTGTTCAGATGTATTTCCTATGCCACTCAACTGCCCTTGACTTTGCCACATGGTTAGCCTTGTTATTGTCGTTAGGTGCCATGAAGTTGAGCACGACTCATAGTGACCCTATGAACAAAAGATCTGAACCCTGTTCTATCCTGTGCCATCCTCACATTTCCTGACACACAAGAGCCCTTTACAGCAGCCACAATGTCAGTCCACCTTCTCCTTTGCCAACCCTCCACCATTCCCAACATCCAGAAACATGCAAACAGAATGTGTTAGTCTTTCTAGCAGGGGATGAGCTAGTTTTGCCATTCTACCAGGTTTAAATTTACTGGGTTCTGTGGCAGAAATGTGAGTAAATCTTGATACTAGCAAGAAAGAGGAGCCAAAAATGCGGCACAACTTCTTTGGGGCCAGAGATTCTTGCACCATTCAGACCAAAAGATTGCTGCAGCAGCCACAACGGAGAACCAGAAACCCGGTGTGAGATAGTTTACCTGGGGACTGCTGCCTCACAGAACGAGAAGTTGGAGCCTTTACCCAAATTTCTGTGAGGATTTGGGAGATGGAGAAATGCCTAAGAGAGTTTTCTAACACAGGCCTACAGCTGCAAGACTGAAGGCTGAAGGGCCTAGTAGGAGCAACCTCAGAAGCTGCCCTGAATGAGAAACTGTATCCTCTTGCCAACCTGACTTGTAACCTGTTTATTTCCCTAATAGGAGCTCTATTGCTGTCCTAAATTGTAACCCATTAACTCCACTAATGGGTAACCTAGTGGTAAGAAGCTGCACTGCCAACCCAAAGGAGTTTGAATCCACCAGCTGCTTTGTAAGAAAAAGATAGGCAGTTTCCTCCTATGCAGTTTATTGCTTAAAGCCAGCTATGGGTTGATTCCAGCTTGATGGTACACAACAGCTTTCTTAATAAGCCGTATAATCGTGAGTATGGTTCTGTGAAGTCTGTGTAGTGATTACAGTGGACTTCAGGTCCAGTAAAACAGTAGGATTGGTGTTGGAATGAATAAAAAGAGTTGTGGGAGCAAAGAGGACATGTCTAAGGGAATTGGTTTTGTGTTGTGGATGCTGTTGATGGGGACAGTTCCCCCTTATAGGGTTAGTAATGGTGAGACTCAGTTGCCCTAGCTCCTTTTACAATTCCTTTTGAGTACTAGGTAAATTTTATTTTTTATATTGGGAATAATTTCAGGTACCAGGTTCTAAAGATAAATTCTAGGCTAAAATAATTTTATAAAGGGTCCTGTTTCGATTACAAACTGAACAAACTTTTTTCTTAGTTTCCAAAAGTGATTTATCTTTCTCTACTTTATTTAAAACATTACTATTTTATTACAGTCTTGCCTATTCTAGTGTATTCAGTGAAAATTTTAAGATCAGAGTCCTCTTCCCTACATATTTTGTCTCCTTTACGATGAACATAGAGAGCCTAGTAAATATTTGTTCAATGAGTAGATGAAGCCACTGTATCTCAATTTCTAATTCTTTAGGTTGGACAGTAATTATGCCTAAGCTAGAAACCAAGCCTTTTGGGTTTCTGATTCAATGAATATATACAAGCAACTCAATAGCACATAATAGCAACAATGCAAATAACTTTTAATGAAAAAGAACAGACAAATGATTCTTGTGCATGTGAACTTGACAATGAATTACACAAATTAAATTAACTACATCTGTGGAAAGAGATAATGGAGAAAGCGTCTCAGTATTATCAGTCAGGGTATGGCCAGTGGCTATCTGTGGAACAAGCCATCTATTATACATATGACAGTTGGAATTGAAGCTGAAGAAAATGAAAAGAAATAAACAGGAGGCAAAAGGTAACATTGCATATACATATTTTCAATTTTTTTATTGTTGCTATCATGGGTGTTGATTGTGAATCCAAGTAAAATTAAATCCTAGACAATTTCACTTTTTTCCCTGCATCTATCAAGATACTGGCTAATAGTCAAGTGACAAGGATTTTTGTTTACTTGATGTTAAGATTTAATTAACATTGAGGACTTTGATCTTCTCTGGAAAGTGCATCAAGTCCTCTTCCCTTTATGCAAGCAAGGTTGCACATCGTTGATGAGTGTTCCTCCAATCCTGATCCTGGAGTAGTCTTCATATAGAGTCCAGCTTATTGAAAGATTTTCTCAGCATACAGATTTAATAAATATGGAGAAAGGATACAGCCCTCACTGACACTATTTCAAATTTTAAGCCATATAGTGTCCCATTGTTCTTTTTAGAGAGCTGCTTCTTGATCTAGGTATAGATTTTTGCATGGTCACAATTAAGTGTTCTGGGATTTTCATTCTTTTCAACATTAACCATAATTAGAATTTATCTACATACAAGTATTCAGGTCTTTCATTCATAGGGTCGCTATGACTCATCTATAACTTGACGGCACTTAACAACAATAGTCAAATAATTTGCAAGATCAATTAAATACAGTTAAATAAATGTCAAGTAGAAGAGGCAATAAAAGACTTACCTTCTTTTTCTTGATCTTAGGAGGAAAGCAATAAGATTTTAATACTTAATTTTGGTGTTGGTATCAAGGCAATTTATACTCTCCTAATGGAAAAGAGGCAGGGTTCAAATTGTTTTCCTGTCAAACATTCTTCTAGGTAGTATAGCATTGGTCTGTGCATTGCTGTACAGAGGGAACTTGTGTTGCTGTGATGCTGAACACTGTGACAGTGATGTGCCAATCGTGGTAATAGGTGCCCATTGTGGACAGTGTTGGCTGGAGCTTCCCGACTAAAACAAGCCTGGAAGCAGGAGTGGCATCCACTTCCGAAATGGCTTGCCTCCGGAAACTATGTACGAACAGTGCTCAGGCCGTTCGTTCATAGGGTCGCTGTGAGTCGTCTACGACTCGACGGCACCAAACAACAACAACAACAATGGAAAAGAGATAGTTTATAAATTCAGGTGGGATAGACTCAAGGTCCAATTTTGGTTCTTTTTATAAAATAGAATTTTTAATTTTAATTGTGATTTGAATGAAAGTTTATAGAAAAGTTAGATTTTCATTCATTGTTGCATGTTTTTACCCCTTCTCCCTCCCTTCTTCCCTCACCCAGTTCACTTTTTTGGTTTTTAAAATATTCATTCATTGTTGTACTATTATTTCCCCCCATTCCTAAGTCCTTTTGCAATTTACTTCTCATTCTGGGATGTTGTTTTACATGTAATACCTAATTGTATATTCCTTTTAATCATTTGTTTCCTTCATCTGTTCCAGTGCAATGCTCATTATCTGTCCACTCCTAGCCTATTCTCCTCCCAAGCCCTCATGTCAGACCTGCTTTATAACAGTGGTGTTGTGCAGTATTTGTCCTTTTGTGACTGAGATCTTTGACTCAGCATAATGTCCTGCAGTGTCACACATGTTGTATAGTGTTTTGAGTTCCTTGTTCTTCAGTGCCACCTAGTATTCTCTTGTTGTTGTTATGTGCGTCGAGTTGCTTGCAACTTATAGCGACCCTGTGTACAAGAGTCCTAAATGCTGCTTTATCCTGTGCCAGCTTCGCCATCTCCAACACACTCATTCCTACCACCACAAGCACAGAATCGATTAATCTCATTGAGTGTCTTCCTCTCCTGCACCGTCCCTCCACTCTCCCAAACATGATGTCTCTCTCCAAGGACCAGTCCCTCCTTGCAACATGCCCAAAGTATGTCAGACGAAGCTTCAGAATCTTTGACTCCAAGGAGCATTCTGGCTTTACCCTCTCCAGGAAAAACCTGTTTGTTCTCCTAGAAGTCCATGGTATATTCAACACTCTTCTCCAGCACCACAGCTCAAAGGCATCAATTCTCTTTCTATCTACCCTAGTCACTGTCCAACTCTGCAATGCATAGCACCTAATTGTGAAGACTGTAGCCTGGATCAGGTGCTCCTTAGTCTCCAGCCTGACATCATTACTCTTCAGTACCCTTGAGAGGTCCCTGACAGCTGACTTTGCCAATGCAATTCGTCTCTTGATTTCCTGGCTACTGGTACCAAGAGTGTTAACTGTGGAGCCAAGTAAACTAAAACTGTTAATTATCTCAACTCTATTCTGACAGCTGCCTCTTGGTCCAAGTATAGGTTTCGCATTAGCACAATCAAATGTTCTGGGATTCCCATTCTTCTCAGAGTCAGCCATAGTTTGTTGTGATCCACAGTTAAATGCCTTTACACAGTCAAAGAAGCACAAATAGACATTCCTCTGGTACTCTCTGCTTTCTGCCAAGATCTATCTAACATTAGCTATCCCTAGTACCATGACCCCTTCTAAATCCAGCCTGCATATCTGGTAGTTTTCTAGTGACATATTGTTCCAAATGTTTTTGGATAATTTTCAGCAGAATCTTGCTTGCATGTGATATTAATGATATTGTTTGATAATTTCCACACTCTGTTGGGTCACCTTTCTTTGGAATGGGAACAAATATTGATCTTTTCCAGTCACTTGGCCAGCTGGCTGTCCTCTAGATTTCTTTGCACAAATTGGTGAGGACATCCAGGGCAGTGTCTGTTTGTTGAAGTATGTCAGTTGGTGTGCCATCAACTCCTGGAGGATTGTTTTTTGCCAGTTCCTTCAGAGCAATTTGAACTTTCTCCTTCATCACCCCAGACTCTTGCTCATATATTATTTCATTAATTTCTTCTATGTCAGCCAATTCCTTCTGATACAGTTACTCTGTGTACTCCTTCCATCTTCTTTTGATACTCCCTGGATCATTTAACATTCTACCCAAAGTATCATTAAGTATTGCCACCCATGGCTTGAATTTGTTTTTCAACTCCTTCAGCTCAAGAAACGCTGAACGAGTTTTGCGCTTTTGGTTTTCTGACTCCAGCTCTCTGCATGTTTCATTATAGTATCTTACTTTGTCATCCTGAGCTGCCTTTTGAAATTTTCTGTTCAGCTCTTTGATTTCTTGTTTTCTTCCTTTAGCTTTGGCTTCTCGGTGCTCT